TTTATAAACTCATAAAAACAGAGTTGAATGGTGATTACCAGATGGGTGTGGGTAGGGGTCCTTGGGATACATTTTTTAAGGATACAAACTTGGAACTAATAGATAAACAAGCCCTGGTGATATAATGCACACATAGTGATTATACATAATGCTGTCTTATAAACTTCAAAGTCTCTAAGACACTAGATCTTAATGGTTTCCCAAAAAAACCCAAGAAATTATAATTATCGGATGTGATAGAGATTAGCTAAAACTATAGTGGTTATTACACTGCAATATGTGATGAATCAAACCAACACACCATAAGCTTATAAAATGTTATATGTAAATTATATCAATATAATAAATTTTAAAAGAATGTTATAGGAATTACATAGTGTTTTCCAAACTTGGAAAATCCAGAATCTTTTTTTGTTTAATGTAAAAATTAATAGGATTTTTAAATAATTAAGTTAAACAAGCATAGACACCTCAAAACACCAGAAGTAAATTTTTCTCAGTTGATTTCTTATGTGTCCAATGCTTGATTTGTATTATGGGAATCTAAGTTTAAAGAAGAGTAAGAGGAATCATTGAAATAAAATTGTTCTTTAGTTAGGTAGATGTACAGCATTTATTTTTGGGTATCCAATTCAGTAAGAATTTTTTAGTAGAAATTTAAAGGACATTAGTTAAATAAACAAATGCCATATAATCTGATTTATGTGTAGAATACATATACAAAGCAAAACATAATGAACAAAATAGCAGAAGGCTCATAGACACTGAGAAGGGATTGGTAGCTACCATCGGGGAGGCTTGGAATGGGTGGGTTGGGGGAGGGAGGGTGATAAAGGGACACAAAAATTGTCAATCATAAGTCTGTCACAAAACTTTAGAACAGCGTTGAGAATATGTAATGTCTTCCTATGTTGACAGTAACTGTACAAGTTGATAAGATTTAATGAGTAACTGTAGAACCACTGTGTTGTATAATTGAAACCAATATAAGATTGTCTATCAACTATACTTAAATTCAAAAAAGAAAGAAATAAGCAGTAACACCTAAAATAAAAAAGTGTCTGCATAACAAAAAAATAACCAACTAAATAAAATGAAACCTATGGAGTGGGAAAATATTTGAAAACCATATATCTGTTAATGGGATAATGACTAAAATATGCAAGGATTCATACAACACCGTAGAAACACATAATATGATTAAAATACAGGCAAAGGACCTGAACAGATGTTTTCTCCAAAAAAAGACTCACAAGTTGTGAACAGGAAAATTAAAAAATAGCCAGTATCAAGGGGATAAATCTGCAAAGAAGTGAAAAGCTAACCTTTTCAAAGAATACTGCTTCTCTCTCACTTACCAATTTTACATTTCCCTGTATGGCCCCGTAAGATGACTGGTTAGCCAGAGACAGGTAAGATTCCTCAAGGGAAGAACAACCAAAGACAGGCACAGTTGCAGGGGGGCCATCAGGAGAGAAATTGGGGGTCAACAGAGGTGAGGCTTGGAACCTCACCCCCCTGTTTTGAGAGAAATCTTCTGCATCCGTGGATGTTTTGTTGCCCTTGTCTAGCTGGGATTAATACTTAGTCTATAGACACACACCTGATCATCTACACTTGCCCTCTTACAGCACTAAATTATGTTTTCTACCTTTATCTTGCATCTACCTACCACTTAATCATTTTATTAAAATAATAATAATAATAATAATAAGGAGAAATGTGGGATTCACATATAAATCAAGTATAAAAATAAAAAATAGCCAGTATCACTAATCATCTACAAAAAAAAATGCCAAGCAAACCATAATGAGCTATAATTCACATTTATTATGACCACCTTTATTAATAAAAAACACGTAATGTTGGTGAATATACAGAGAATAGGGAACACTTGTACACTGTTCATAAGAGTATAAATTGATACAAACATTATGACAGTTTAATATCAGGCTTATTATACCTGTGCTTTTATGTTTTTTGCAAGAATTATTCACTAAAAGAAATACATGTTAACTTCAGTAGTGCACGTGAGGATTTAGTGATATGGGTAACTGTTGAACCACTGTGTTGTACATTAGAAACCAATGAAAGTTGTATGTCAATTAAATTAAATTAATTATTTAATTCATTTAAAAAATTAAGACAACAGCCAGTTAAATGTCTTTCAACCAATGAAGAAAGAAATGTAGCAAGTGTGGATAATGTATGGAATTTATGGTCACAATAGAGAATCATTTAGCATAAAAATGTGCGGACCATTATGTCCCCTTCATGCATTTCACCCATCATTCCAGTCCTTCCATCTGGTAACTGCTATCTGTTTTCCATGTTTATAGGACTATTTCTTTTTCATTTGTGTTTTTTTCTTCAGATTCCACGTATGAGTGAAATCATATGGTATTTGTCTTTTTCTGTCTTGCGTTTTCCCATAGCATATTACTCACTAGGTCCAACCATGTCACAAATGGCAAATTTCCTTCTTTTTTGTGACTGAGTAATAGTCCATTGGGTATATGTGCTAATCTTCTATGTCCATTCATCAGTCTGTGGGTATTTGGGTTGCTTCCATGTCTTGGCTACTGTATGTAAATAATGGTTCTATGAACATAGGTAAGCATATATAATTTTGAATTAATAATTTTGCTTTCTTCAGAAAAATTTCCAGAAGTGGAATTGCTAGGTCATATGTTTTTTTCTATCTTTTAGAGGAATCTTAATGTTGGTTTCCCACAGTGCAGCCATTTACAATCCCACTAACAGTGCCTGAGGTTTCCCTTTTCTCTTCATACTCACCAACACTTGTTATTGTTTGTCCTTTGGATAGTGGCCATTCTGACTGGTATGAGGTGATATCTCACTGTGGTTTTGATTTGCATTTCCCTGATTATTAGTGACGTGGAGCATCTCTTCATGTGCCTGTTGGCCATCTGTATGTGCTCCTTGGAAAAATGTCTGTTCAGATCCCTGCTCACTTTTTAAAAGGGTTATTTGTTTTTGGTCTTGAGGCACATGAATTATTTATATTTTAGATGTTAACCCCTAATTTGATCAATTATTTGTGAATATCTTTTCCTGGACTGTAGGTTGCCTTTCCAAAGTGGGAGTAAATTTGTTGTGAAACTAACTCTCAAAATATATATTACTGCATGTATATTTGTGTAAATATATTTACACACCTGTGTAAAACTCTATTGAATAAGAGAGTTGAGAAATGTGACACACTATTATTTTTACTGCAATGGATAGTTGAAATCATGCATATAGGAAAACAAGGGGACTTCGTTTTCCTTGTATTATCCATTAAACAAATGAAATCAGTACACATAAGAGCAATTTAGTCTGTATCTTTATTTAACTAGTATATTGAAAAAACTAATAGGGAGAAATTTTCCATTATAATATATGTTTAGGATGGATTTTATAATCATGTTTATTACTGGAAGCCACATATATTTCTTATAGTCCAATTTGTTGGTTAGAAGTATGGGCTTGGGTGCCAAAATGTTGGGCCTGACCATGGACTTTGAAAATTGCAAATTTTATTTTATCTTATTCTTTTCCATTCAATTATATCAACCATCTAGAAACCCATTCAGTCTACCCAAATATCTATCTTTCTTTCCCTTCAGAATAAATAATATGAAATCATGCTTTATATTTAGAATCATATCTGTTTCATTATACACTTAAAAATAAAGAAAATAATCCTTAACATTATGATACATTTGGGGATTTTAAAATGAAAAATATCTGAGAAGTTCTTAGGGCAATGTCTAACACATCATTATTTGTAGTTGTTGTAATGGTAGTAGACATACATGACAAAATCTCTAGAAATAAGTTGCACAAAAAAAAAACAATGAAATGCAGTGGAATACATACATATTTTTGATTCTCATGCTCAGGTTGTTCCAAGCACACCTTAGGATGTTCCAATAACCAAACTGGATATCAGATTTTAAATTTAAATGAACTGAAACTAATTAATGTCACTGTCATGTCAGCTGCATTTCAAGCCCTTAATAGTCACATATACCAAGTATTAACATGTTTGATAGTACAGTTCTGGGCACATTTGACTTGCAAGCTTATGTCTAGTCATAGAATTCCTACCTCTAATTTAAAAGACCACTTTTATTTTCCATTGAATATTATTTTTAAACTCTTGTGCATTTTTTATGATGTCTGTCATGTCCTTTCTCTTGGTATGATCTTCAAGTTATGCCATCACAAACCATTATTCCCACATATGAGCTCCCTAAATTTAATTAAAAATGAAAATATTTGCAATCTTGTTAAACATCATCATATTGATCATCATCTGGGATTTAGACTGTGCTTAAGAAATTGAAGGAAAAAGTATGAAGGTAGGCATTCGATTAAATTGTTTAGTGCTTGGAAACCAATATACTGGTCAACAGTCCCTGATTATCCAGCCTCAGAACATTCTGTTTAGGAATTTTCTCCTGAAGCTTTCCTGCTAAAATAAACCCTGACAACTTCTACCATTCCTGATATTCCCACTTACGTATGTTTTAAGAAAGACAGCATGTTATTAACAGAATTAGTGACTTATGTAATTGAATTATATTTCCATTGGATATATAAATATATACACATATATGGATGTATATAAATATATGTTATGTATTTATATAAATTATGCTCAGATAAGCTTAATCTGAAAATGACAATATTAAAATATTTGAAGGCATTTACTTTTCCCTATCTTTTTCTTCTCGACCTCTGGCTTCAGTTTATTTCAGTCATGAATGGAAAACATGCATCAGGAAATGGTGTGCATCTGGGGAACAAAGGCTCTTGTGTAGAAGACTGAGCCCCAGCATAAGGAATACCTGCTACGAAGTTGTATTGACTCAAATACTCAAATCACTCAGCTCCCTCTCTCACACCTATCCCCATTAAATTTACTAATGAAAGGGCTTTAATTACTAGGTGTTCATTCTCTGCCATGCCTGCCATTTAATGAAAGTAAAATGTACAGCAGCAATGTCACGGACTTTGTGATTCTGGGCCTCACCCAAAAGCCTGAGCTCCAAGGAGTTCTTTTCCTCGTGTTTCTCTTCATCTATCTCGTGGCTTTTCTTGGCAATATGCTCATTGTCATCACCATAATCTGTAACGCCACCTTGCACACCCCCATGTACGTTCTCCTGTTGGAGCTGGCTGTCGCGGACATCATCTGTACAACAAGCATCCTGCCGAAGATGCTGGAGACCCTGCTCGATTCAGGGCAGACCATTTCAGACGAAGGCTGCATGCCCCAGCTCTTCTTCTTCACATGGTCCCTGGGGGCCGAGATGGCTCTCTTCACGCCGCGGCCTATGACCGCTCTGCAGCTGTCTGTTTCCCTCTTTGCTACAGGGCCATCATGAACCACCATGTGTGGGTGGCCTTGCTTGGCATTATCATGGCTATTGCAGTGACCAACTCCTGGGCACACACAGGGCTCCCCCTGAGGTTGACCGTCTGTGGGTCAAACACCATTAACCGCTTCTTCTGCGAGATACCCCCTTTGCTGGCTCTGTCCTGCAGCCCGGTGGGAATCAACGAGGTGATGGTTTGTGTTGCTGATATCACCCTGGCCGTAGGGGACTTTGCCGTGACCTGCCTCTCCTACAGATTTATCATTGCTGCCGTCTTCCGCATCCGCACAGCAGAGGGCAAGAGGAGGCTTTTCTACATGCTCAGCCCACCTGACCGCGGTGTCCCTCTACTACTTCCCTGTGATCTACACCTATATCCGCCCTGCTTCCAGCTACACATTTGAAAGGGACAAGGTGGTAGCTGCGCTCTGTACTCTTGTGACCCCTGCATTAAACCCAATTGTGTACAGTTTCAGGAACAAGGAGATGCAGACAGGGATTCAGAAAGTCTTTGCAGTTCTGAAACATTAATGGTTTCAACAGGAAGCATCAATTCTCTACTCTAGAGTCATCTTCTAGATATTTCAGATTTTACTGATCTTTCATAGTTACCTTCAACCTAAGTCTTCCTGTTCTCTCCTATGAGAAAGAATGTTCACTCAACTGTAAAATATTTAACAACTATTGTAAGGACAGTATGTGTTAAGTTTCCTTGAAAACTTAACTTTTAACTAGGTAACACGCAAATATTCCTAGAAAGCTCAGTACATTTTGGAAATTTTATTAAAATTGAATGTCTTTTGCTGGAAATAATCCAAATGACTTAAAAGCAAAGTAATTTCACTGTATATCTTTAATTCAATGCAATCTAAATGCAAAGAAATTCAAAATGTCTCTGACTGGATATTAGATCATAGCATTTAGGAAGTTTTTTTTGCTGTTATGTACAAGAAAGAGTTTTTGTTTCTCAGAGATACATTGTAAACTATGTGCACATTAAAGAATAAAATATGTGATATAATAGGTGAAGTCAATATGCCTTCCATCTTTCATAATCATTTTTGAAATTTGTTTTCTATGTTTTTCATGAATTAAAAAGCAAAACTTCATGTGGCAAAATCATTTAAAAATTCTACTTCATTTTAAATGTTCTCTGTAAAAATTAAGTGCTTAGCAGTTTATGACCTTTTGTCTGAAAATATGCCACATGACTTAGATTTTGAGACAGGGAATGAACTTTACCACAGGAATTTTAAAAATAATAATAATTTGGAAAAGAGCTCTTCAACTAATGGTTAGCCTTAGATAGTTCTTTTACATAATATTTTTTTAGAGACAGAATTTAATATTGGGAACATATTTTCTGTGATGTATCTTTACTTCACTCAAAAAATAAGTATTTGAGTATTTTCTTATGAAAATAGAATTGTACACATATTAGATAATAACACAGAACTACAATGACTGATTTGCTTTAAACTCATTTTTCTCAGAATTTAGCATTGCTTTTCCTGTTTCTTTGAAAACAATTTGACACTAGAATCAAGTAAAGTTTCTCATCACCTTGTTTTCTTTTACCTATTACAGCCATGCTTGTCAACATTAAGAAAACAAGTGTTTCCACAGAATTGTGCCTTCCTTTCTTTCACATGAAAGACTTCAAAGACAGCTCTCAATTATGAATCATGAAAGAGTTTCTAAAGTGTGATTGACTGTCATTTTTAATATTTATCCCTTTTTTGGAAGCTTAGTTTTAATACTTTTTCCTATCAGCAGTGGCTTTATACTATTACTGGATAATATTGGGAGGCACTAACACACATTGGAGTTCATCACTAATAATGGAGTACACCTGTATTTCAATTAATTGTTTTAATATTTTCAATTTTTTATTATGGTGAGCATTTGACAGAAATTTTTTTTCTACCTCAGAGAACTGGCTCATTAATATACATAGTGATTCTGGTTTGAATGTTTTTATTTTCTTGCTGTTCCTTTTATAATTAAAGATGAGTGTTAAAATGAATCACTAAGGGAAAGAGACATTATATAATGGAAAATATAAAAAAAAATAAATCATCAACAACCTTAAACATGATATATAAACCAGTATAACACCATTTGAAGAAATATCAAATGTATAAATACTTGAATAAGCTTGAACATAAATACATTGAACTTTTAAAGCATATATACTACTGTATATACACTAGTGCATATTATACTCTCCAAAAAGAAAGCAGATATTTTTTAAAAGCACATGTAAAACAATTTTAAAAATGAGTCATATATTTAGCCATAAAATGAGCCTCAATCAATTTAAAAGGATCAATGTGTGAAGTAATTCTGAGTATTATTAAATATGCGTATGTGTGTGTTGGGGAAGGGTGTGTATGAAATAACATTATGGAATAATCTCCAGGATGCCCCAGCCGGCGGAGAGTTCAACAAGGGCTCGAGGGGATGTTAACCTGGATGAGAGACAAACCAGACACAAACAAGGAGAGCAAGTCGAAAGTCTGATCAAGGTCTCAAGGTTTGTTCTTACAAGGTAGATTATATAGGAGCTAGGAGGGGGAAACAGCCCCAGCTGAAGTGGCAAGGGTTATCTAGGTTGCTAGGATGTTCTCTGAAAAGATCATGGGTGGGGGATTACTGAGAAAAGACAGAATGTTTTACTAAGGAGGAGATGTTATCACGGCAGCTGCTTAATCTCTATCCCAGCAGTCTAATCGCAAACTGGGTCAATTGATCTTTTGTAAACCTGGCAGGCTTGAGAAACTAGAGACCTAGGCGAAAAAGGTGAGACCACTGTTTCTATGGCCTACGGCTCCCGACATCTCCTCCCTTCTTTTATACAAAAGAGGGGGAGGCCCACTATTTAGCAGTGGGCATTAATCAATTGGGGGAGTAGTGACCTGGCTCCTCCGAGACTCCCCATTGATGGGGGTCAATGTTGGCCCTTGGTATCTTTTGTGGAGGGGAGGAAGGGCGTATTTATTTTAGATACCAACCTCCATGCAAGCCAGGTTTTTCTCTCAGGGAATTCAGAGGTGGTTCATGGACCTTCCCTTGCGATGTTTAGCTTCGCACCCACATTGGTGCCCATATCGCACTCACTTTATTGTGAGCTGATATGCATAGGTCTGAATCCTATGCAGCTTCTAAAGGAGGGGAGTCATCTGGCACATCATAGCCTTGGTCCGCTAGGTCAAGCCGGTGATAGTGGACTTGTATCTGTCTGAGTATTGATCTGTTCTCTAATGAAGGTGGTAATTCTCCAGAAGGCCCAAGGGCCAAGGGAGAGCACAAGCATGAGACTAAGGAAGGGTCCTAGTATAGGGAGAAGATAAGGAAGAAACCCACTCATCCTAGTCCATAGGGAATTTTCAAACAGTTTTTTCTTTCTTTGCATGAGATCTTCTTGGAGTCTTTTTATTTTGTCACAAACTACTCTGGACTTGTTTGCGTAGAAGCAGCATTTCTCTTCTAAGGTTAAGCAGATGCCACCTTGTTCCGCACTGAGAAGGTCTAGGCCACGCCTGTTCTGTAAGACTACTTCTGCAAGGGAATCTATTTGGTCTTGAAGATCTTGTAAGGTTCCTGAAACAGCCTCAATATCATTAATTAATTGATGGGATAGTTGATTATATTTGTGTATGGCAACGCCCATTCCTGCGGTACCGGTCGCCAGACCACCTGTGACTCCAAAAGCGATTAACAGAGGAAGAACAGTAACTGCTCTTTTATGCCTTACAGGGTAGTAATCAGAGGTTGGCAAAGGGACCGGTTCTTTTCCATCAACTAAGGATATATCAGGTAAAGGGCTAGCAGTGGTGCACTGCCCTTTCCAGTTGGTGGGTAGGGAGGTGTATGCCATGTTAGTCCCACAAACAAAGATTTGGTCTTTGGGGGGGGGCATAGGATACTGTTTATAATGTTAGTGACAAGAATTTCTGAGCAGTGGCCAAAAGAAATGTTCCCTAGTTCAATATCATAGGAATTATTTTGAAATCTCTGGTACAAGCAGGTTATGTTATCTAGTGATACTGGTTGCACTTTAAAAGGAGAGGAAAGTGAGCAATGGTTATTATTTTGGAGATTTTGTGTGATACTGGGTGTGAGAATAGCTAGAGGCATGGGTGTTCTCCAAGGCAGACAAAGCCAACAATGGGACGCAAGGTCAGGGTTGGTAAGATTAAGGAGTTTGTGAGTTTCTTTAAGCAGGCTGCTCATGGGTGAATTAATATCGATTCCTCTGGGTTTTGGGAGAGCCAGGGGGTGATATTTTAAGGAAGGATACATCTACTCTATGAGTTGCTCTATACGCTGTTGCACAAGTTGTTCATGAGCCCTATCCGATGGACCTCCTCCATCGGACACATGAATAGGTGATAAAACCTTCCATCAAACAGGTTTTCCTGGCGTCCCTGCACAACTAGCTGAAAGTGGTGAGTTATGGGAATGGGTCTGTACAGCGCCTCGGCAGATTGTCTTTAGAATGGCTGTCAGATAAGTCTGGTTTTTATGATGACAGCTCTGGACAGAGTCATAGCAACTACTATGCATTTGATCTTGGACTGTACAGGTGCCGTTGGCATTGCAATTACATGGTATTGATTTCTTGTCAGCAGTTGGTGTTATGGAAGGCTTTTTAACACATTTCCAAGAGAGTTGTTTCCATCTTCTGCTAGAGGAATATCCTCCTGCAGAGATATCTTCTGTGAGATATGCTGTCTTATCCTGACAATCTATGGGTCCTCAGGTGGTCAAATGGAGTCCAGCTAAGTATTTTGTCCCTTGAGATGTTACTTGTTTATGTCCTTCTATATTGGGTTCCAAATCCTGTATTCCTCCTTTACAATCACATGGTTGTCCAAATAGCTGCATATAGATCTGTTCTTTGTTAGGGGGTGATTGAAACCCCCCTTGACAATAGAGAGGGAATAGTATACTTACCACGAAGAAGGTGAAAATGCGAGAGTTGATGGGCTTCATCTTTTTATAAGGTGCAGTTAAGAAGTGTGAAGACGCCAACAAGGATCCAGTAAGTGGTAACAAGAATAGTCTGCTGTACAAGGGTCCACTGGGGAGGGGTGGAGGCGGCGAGTCCTATGCCTAAGATAAAGGTAAGGACTAAACCGGCGGCCAGAATCTATGGAGAGAAGAAGAAAAAGGATGTCTCAGGGGGTGTCACCACCCTGAACAGTTGGATAAGATTTTTTAAAATCTTCTGATAAATCTATTGGTTTAATCAAACACTCTGGCAGCCAGCGAACAGCTCTTTCTTTGGTGTTGAAAACACAGGCAGATCCCCGGCCCCATTTGAGTATGGGGTCAGGGCCATTCCAATGGGAAGTGAGGGGGTCTCTCCACATGACAGTGACATAATTTTTATCAGTTTGTGGGTGCCAAAGGCTATCAGCTTCAGATTTGCCATGAGCGTCCAAAGTTAAAAAATTAAGAACAAACAAGGCATGATGAAGAATATTTCTTGGAGAGCCTTTCATGGGATATAAATCCCCCATTTT